TTCAAACGAACGCCCAAAAATATATTTTATAAGTGGATGCAAGTCACGTTATAACAAAAAATTTAACTCGGATGAAAAAACTGGAACACAATGTAAACCAAAAGGCATTGTGTTGCCTGCCAAGCAAGAAGCAACGCCCTATTTCATCTCGAATAAGGCCATCTGTGTTGGACTTGGCATGCTCTTCACTTAAGCCCACTTCTGTTCAGCCCAAGTTCGTCGCCAACTCTAACATATCGTCCTTCACCTTGCCTCCACCAACACCAAAAGCAAAGAAGGAAAATAGCTTCTTTTCCAATCTCCTTTTCCAAGAACACCCCAAAGCTGCTCCTTGGCAAGCCGATACAATTGCTTTTCCAGAACACAAAGACGGCTGCTTTTCAACACTATTGTCCATCACCCTCCAAGACCCTTTCAATAAAGTTCATCATCGCCAACATCAAATCCTCCAACGGTCATCATCTTGGAGTCTATTTAAAGGACCATAACCCTTCTTCTCAAACTCAACGAATTGCACCAAGAAAGCTAGAAGCTTTGGGTTGCAAAGGGTTCCTCCCTTTGGGAGATGTCAGTCATATTGGTTACATGGAATTGGGTTTAATCTCGGTAACTGTCCTTGGGATTATCTCTTGTGAGTTTTTAGATCATATCCTCATTCTTCCCCCCTTTCTACAGAGATGGGTTTCTAGGTAGATAAGGAGTTGGAAGATTGATTTTAGTTTCCCATTGTTTGAGTTCTTCGGAACTTTTTTTTTCTTTCCATTCGCCTATTTCCTTTGGTTGTTCTTGTTAAAAGCAATCATAAAACTGCATAATGACCACGTTTAAGTTATCAATTCCAGAAGTATCTCTTTCGATTTACTTTTTCAATTCTCAAATTGAAAAACTCTAAATAATTTGAAACCCAACCTAGCATCTCAATCTGTTGCGATGTAATCTATATGTGGATAGCGGAATCATCAGAATTGAGGGTAGTACACTCAAAATGCAGTGCCTTCCATGAGACCAATTTAATCATCATATAAAATGTTGCAAACTCTGTAAGGCATATTAATTTCTAATTTATACATATGATGGGACGACCAAACGGTGATTCAAGAGCTAATTTATAGCTATAATTTCTTCTTCATACCTATAAGTTGTGGAAACTAATCAATTTTAGGTCAAGTTATACTATCGATAAAAGAGATATAAGGGCGAACTTGAGCCGTTTTATACTAGAGGGTCTCAATGGCAAGTTTAAGAGTTTGGGCGTATAGTAATACTTGCTACAAAAAGTAAATTTTCAAACAATTTTGAATCACTATATTGCCTACATCTCAACCTAAATTACATATTAAACTAATCTTATGTGATGATTTCTCAAACCTGTTTGAGCCTGGATACCCCCGAACGCTTATCCACCACTTTCCCGCTTGACTGTCACTTGGGCGTCTAGAACCTGCACCCACAAGCGCCTAAGGGCCTTGGCCGACCCGTTAGCACTCCGAAGCTCAAGTCAGTGCTCTTCTTCTAGAGAGATAAGTGTCAAGGAATCGTTTAGTGAGAGAAGCCAACCTGCGTAAATGCTATCGTCTGCCCCTATTTATACTCACCGAACCCGAGGTTGATCTCCGCCACGTCATCTCCCACATTCAATGCTCTGCGCCCCCAGACAGCTAACCGCCCTGTCAGACTCCTGACACCTGACTGGCATTCCACAGCTCTGCCAGGCTCCTGACACACGACAAGCGCCCGCAGGCCGTGGTCCACCATCCAGTTGATCGCCACCTGGCTTTTGATGCTCTATGTGACAGCTAACCGCCCTGTCAGACTCCTGACACCTGACAGGCGCCCCAGGCCGTGGTCCACCAGCCGGTTGGCCGCCACCTGGCTCTTGGTACTTTACTCTTTTGGGCTTTGTCCCCTAGCTCGCTGGGTAATACCCCCAACAATTGCCCCCCCAGTTAGGTGCTCGTGGCTTCGCCATCGAGCGCCTGACTGAACCTCTAGTTGTAACCCAGCCTTCTGCTTGGTTGCAGGGCGCTTGACACTCGGCGCCTGCATCGTGTTCTCACTTCTTTCTTGGTCCTACGAGGTGTGTTTGCTTCTCCTCCTCTGCGGTCAGACGTCCCGCCTTTGGCAGTGTCCCTTATCGAATACTCTTCCAAGCGCTCCTGTGCCTCTTGCCTGCCGAGGCGCCTCTTACCAAACGGGACGCCTTTTTGACTAACCCTTCCTTTCGGGCGCTTCATGGTGTCGTTCTTGAAGAGTGTCTTTATCCCTTATGCCCCCCTCACCCACGCTATGCTTGTCGGGAAAATTTGGAGAAAAGAAAATTCGAAATTCGAAATTCGAAATTCGAAATTCGAAATTCGAAATTTGGGAGTTGAGAAATTTCCCCGAAAAGGAGAGGGTGGGGGAAGCTCAAAGGTCCGCCTGTGATTTGGTGGCTCGCGAAGAGACCAAAAGGTGGGGGGAGTGGAAGGGTTTCCTTCGGCATGACTGACACGTGTCATGCAACGGGTGAGCCTTCGTTTTTCTTTAAATACTCCTCCCCCCTTGTGATGCTGTCACTTTCTTCTATTTGTCCTCTCTCTAGAATCTTGCTCTGACTTCTCTCTAGCTTCCGCGCTGACTTCTGTCCTCTTTCTTCTCTGCTTTTCGCGTCCAACACTTCACTCTCGTCCAAAAGATGTCGTCTTCACACCAAGACAAGACTTCTGCACCCGGCGCCTCGGGCGCGGGCGCCTCCGGCGACGGTGGTGAAGCAAGGCGCCCAGTTCAACGTGGTAAGTGGTCTTTTCCTTTCGTCGATTTCGTTGAGTTTTTTTTTTCTTTTTTTTCTAGCCACTTAGGGTAGGGGCGTCACTTACCCCTTGTCCGCGTTGCGTCTGGGTCATTTGTTGGTTTAGAGCGGGCGTCTGCTTCCTCGTCAGCTGGGCCGTCAAGTTCGTCGGCGCCTGGCTTCTTGCCCGCCGACGGGTCATTCAAGATCACGTCGTGGGAGAAGTGTTTCCCCCCTGATCATTTGCCCACCGAGACGTCGCACTTGTCATTTGAGGTGGCCGGGCCCAACCACACGTCGACCATCACCCTGGAGCAGGTTCATGAACTGGTGACTAGTCTCCAGCTTCCCAGAGACTGGTGGTATGCGCCTCCATCGCCCCAGTCCCGGGTGGGCGTCTGTGGCCCCAAGTGGATCGGGCTCTACCAGGAGTACTTTCGTTTCGGGCTTCAGTTTCCCCTGGACTCGATCATGGAGGGAATTTTGACGACATGCGCCTGTCCTCTCGGGCGCCTATCCCCTTCGGTCATCACGGTTGTCATCCTCTTCAAGTTGAGGTGCCGAGAGCACAACGTGGAGCCCACCTTCAACTTGTTCCGATACTTCTTCAAGATGGTGCCTCTGGACAACTGCTTATCCCTCCAGAAGCGCAAGAAGAAAAGCTGCCCCCATCACTTTGTCCAGAAATGCCCTAAGTTGAACCGAAGCTGGTTCAACGGGTTTTTCTTCGTGAAGGCCTATCAAGACTCCTTCTTTGCCAGTGGGGGCGCCTTTATTAGGAAATGGGGGTTAGGCCATGTCGATGACTTCAATAAGCCGGTGGTTTTGACGGCGTCTGAGAAAGCCGGCGCCTCCTTAATTTGCGAGGGGGAGCCTGTTGACTTACGCCCCGCAGAGAATCGTCCTCCAATTATTGAAGCTTATTATAACAATGGTGTGTAGGCGTCTAGGTGTTCTGCTTCCTTATCCCTTTGTTTGCGTTATGTACTAACTTACTTTTGTCATATGCAGGGGCGGACTACTCGAGTATTGCCAAGCTCATGAAGAGTAGGCTGGCGGCTATGGCTGCGGAGGCGGCTGCTGCAGCATCTTCCCCACAAGAGGCGCCTGCTCGGCCAGAGGCGCCCCTTCAACCGGAGGCACCCGCCACCCAATCAGAGGCGCCGCCAGCCGGCCCCAAGAAGAGGAAAGGGAAGAAGAGGGCGGTGAAGGGTGGCACCGCTCGAGCGCACACGGCAAGCGTGGCGTCGTCCGCCCCGGAAGAAGGCGAGGGGACGCCTGATGCCGACCCCGCGGAGAAGGAGGTTAACTCCGCTGAAGAGGAGGAGGAAGAGGAGCCTTTGCTCCGAAAGGGGAAGAGGGCGGGCTCCCCCTTAACCTCGGCCAGCAAGAGGGCTGCCCGAGGAAAGAAGAAGGTGGGCGAAGAGGACGCCTGCGAAGAGGACACCTTCGACGAGGTGGAAGTGGAGGCGGAGACTGTGGAGGACGCCCACCTTCACTTGAATGAAGAGGGGCGCTACGTTGGCCCCGATGGGCGCCCCCCCATCTTCCGGCCGCGGCGCACCGAGGTGGGACGGGTCAATATGAACTGTTCCCCCTTGGTACTTTACTCTTTTGGGCTTTGTCCCCTAGCTCGCTGGGTAATACCCCCAACAAAACCCAATACAAATTCTACAAACTACTAACCGGTAATTAATTGGTGTAAATTTTAGATCCTTCTTTGTAAATGAAATTTTTTAAAATTGCTCTCCGAAATTTATTCCGTGAGATTCAAATCTAATTGGTGAAAGGAATTAAGTGAGGAGAAAAAAGACGAACTAGGATACGCCAGGAAACTTCCAAGAAAAGGGAGGGTGGGGTCCTCAAAAGAGAAAAATGGATGGTCTTAGCAAATGAGCGCCAGCCACGTGCCAGCTCTCTGGTGGCTAAAGTGACTTCACAGTTCACCCATCCCATAAATAAAATATATTATTTTCACGTCCCATAATAATTCGAAGCTTAATTATAATTACACAGAAAAATTGGTATTTAGTCTTAACTATTTTTAAAGTTTTGCATTAACTGTGGGCTTAACCACGGTTAAATCAAACAGTGCCTTGAGCTCCGTTCGCCCTTATAAATACGCTTTCGAACTCTCCATCTCTGCTCTAATTTTCAGTAACTGAGCCAACTCGTCTCACACTTCCCACGTAGTCCAGTCCCGCTTCAACTCGGTCTCCTGCCTTTTCCCTCTCGATCGCTTCCTCTTTGATTATTCAAGGTTCGAAATTCTCTACCGTCTCCTTAGATTCCTCTTTCCCTTTCCCCCTTTCTCCTTTCCCTTTACGGTTGCTGTTGAATGGCGGCTGGTTCTGTTTTCCCCTGTTCTGGGCTTGTTGTTTTCCAGAATCTCTGTCAATTCCTTGGAAATATTCTGTCTTCTCTGGGGTTTCATGGGTTTTGAGCTGCTCCGTGGAGATTGAGGGAAAGGGGAAATGATGTGTTGAAATGGGAAAGATATGAATTGAAAAGGGTTCTCCTCATTTTTGTTATTTTGATTTTGCTCGAGCTATGCAATTTCGATCGAGTTTCATTTTTGCGCGTTCTTCAATTTTTAAGTCAATGGCTGCTTGTGGTGGTGGCGTGTGGAATTTTCTATTTTCTTTTCTGTTCGATTATCCATTTGCATCTTTTTCTTCTTCTGGGTTTTGATCATTTAGTGATCGATAGCTATACCAATATCTAAATGAATTGTTATCATTATGAGTTTCCATATTCAGTTAAAATTTCATTTTCTTTAACTGTTGCAGGAGGAGGTGATAACCAAACATTGCTGCAAATCTCCCCTCAACTCCTTGCAATTGAAGTTTGATTGACCATGTGTCCTCCTTCACTAAACCCTAATGCTGAAATCGGCTTCGATTGTACTCCAGAGGAGATTTGCAGCTCTCTTCACAAAATGATGAAAGGGTCTCCTCTCCCCAGCAACGTTGTCGACGACATTTGCCCCTACATCTACACCCCATCGAATCTGCCAGGTAAAAATTGCCTTCTTGACCATGAGACTGTTAGCGATATAGTTCGATGTAGTTTCTGTTTGAATTTTGATCGTTGTCTGATAGTGATGGTCTTGGTAGTGCAGCTGACATATGGTATTTGATCGAGAAATCGATGGATAAGGACAAGGAAACAGAAACTGGGCTCTGGAAAGTGAAGGGGGAGGCATTGAAGCTCTTCACAAATGCTGCAATTACTGGGTGGAGAAGCACATTGGAATACTATGAAGGCCAAAGCCCGAGTGTTCTCAAGACTGATTGGTTGATGCAGCAATATTGGGTTACCGAAACCAATCTGGATGGAAGCAGCAAGCAAGCAAAGGTATTTCAATCTAAAACCCTTGATTCTCTGGTGCTTATGATTTATCTAGTTTCCTGTTCTCCACCCAAAAGCTGTCAGTCAAATGTCAGGGATTGGTTTGGATGGGTTTTTTGTAGGAATCCAGCAGCCTATGCCGAGTCTTCATTGAACAAGAACATATAAGTCATAAGAGGGAGGAATTGGATGCCCAGAGGCTTTTAGTTGCTGCTTCCAGTACTAATAGCAGTGGATCCACAAGCAAGGCTGAGGTATGATCCAGTTTCAACCTTCTGATCTTGTTCTTCAGCCTTGGGTCTGCTTGAGTGCTTCATCAGCCTTGTTATTTCTTTTGTTTGTTTTGAAGTCTTCTATTATTATGTAGGTTGATAGGGCTGCTGTCGCAGATCAATTGGCTGATGATTTGGAGACTGATGCTGATTGTTATGCTCGAGGAGACTACTTGGAAATGCTGGATCTGGATATTCCATTGTTCAGTTCTTCAAGTACAGACAATTCAAGTTGCATGTCATTATCATCGGATGAGTATTTCGATTCGTTGGCTTTGCTTCGAGAGATAGAATCTGAAAGCATCCAGGAATCCCTGCAAAAGAACGTGGCCGCCTCCTGCAAGCCAGATGAGATGATACTTGGTCCAGCTTCTCCAGGTTTGTTAAGAAAATAAAAGCTGTATTGTGCATGGATGCGTTTGGAATGGAACCTGAATTTTGATTGTGAATCTTCCGTACTTTTCTCTCCATAGGATCAATTGTCAACATTCATCAGAGCCAGCAAACATGTGAACAGTCCGAGAGCAAGCCAACCTGTGAGCTATCCGCACAGGTTGCTGGCCCATCTGGATCGAATGATGAGGTTAACAAGCGTCGATCTAGAAAGCACAAATTGGCTTACAAGGACAAGGGTTCATCATCAGATTCTTCTCACGGAGGCCATTCCTCATCTGGAGGTGATGGTGGGGAGAAGAAGGCTTCTTCTTCCAAGGGCAGAACGAAGAAGAAGCGTAAGAACAAGTATTTCTGCTTCATGCCATTCAACTTCATGTTCTGACCTTTGCAGTGTTTAGTATTTTTGACAGAAGAATATCTTTTGATCTGTGAGATAGAAGTGTATAATGTATAGATAGAAATAGCGACGAAAGGACGGATCTTTTGATTGACCGATCCTTGACAGAATAGCAGAGTCAGGCAGATATAATGGAGGGAAAGAAGGAACGATGATATGACATGGGGATCGGGTGTATATGTTTGTGAATCACTTTTGGTGATGTTTTTGTTCTTTGATGCTGTAGTGATGGATACATCCTCAGCAAATCACTTGTTGACGTTATTGTGTAACACTATTAAGTTCCTTGTATCATAGATTCATAGTGCATACTCATTTCGCTTTAATTGCTTTTCCAAGTACGTGTAAATTTTGACAAGAGACTATATTTATCAAACTGATTCATCAACATTCCAAAGATCTAAGTTGATTTTGTATAAGCTAAGTGATGTTCTATTCTCTTTTCTCTTCTCGTCTAATCCAACTTTTATACTTCTCTTTTCTACGTTGTTAGATACAAATGTAAAGATGATAAAATCTCCTGCACGTTATTAAAGCTTCGAATAAACAATAACACCAACCAAAATGTGCGTAAATGTAATAACAAAGTTGAGTTGTGAAAAATGAAATCCTAGAACTCTTGGGTGTTTCACATTCATATTTGGATTTAAATACTCAAGCTTTGCACTACAAGACAAATCATACCAGCTTGCTTTTGGAGAACAATTAACTTAAAACAAACATAACTCAAACTAAAGTTCAAACATTAATATTAAACTAAACTTTATGATGATTTCCTCTAAATCTTGTCGATCCACTTTGACAATAATGATCGCCGGTTTGAGTCTTGACATTAACTTAAATTATCTCCTCATAAAATGAAAATGGATATGACACTGTGGCATGTATTTTACTGATGTGATCTATTGAATTTCCAGCGTGTAGGAGTATTCAAGGCCTGCTAATTGCTGAGGCTGGTAAATGGGTCTCACTTCGCTTGCTTCTTATATGGGCCTAACAATGGATCCTTGCCTCCCTAGCCTCGGACGAACTGGATCGTCAGGCCCATTCGTTAACTCTGCTTCTTGAAGCAGTGAAGGAGCCCAAACATGAATTAACGTTACTTCACTTCAGCCAAACAAAACAACTCCACTGTCCAGTCTTACCACCAATGTTGTGGTTGAGAAGTCCCAAAGTGTTTCACTGTTTTCCAACTTCAAGCAGAATCGTATTTGTATATGCTCAATAAACTTGTGTTGAAAGAGATTCCAATTCCTCATGAATTTATTTTGAACCGGAATCTTTTGCCTCAATGGTATCCTAGTTTTGCCGAGGAAAAAATTATCAAATGTATCCTAGTTTAGCAGTCCCTCACGATTTGACGGCAATTAGATCTTTAGTTGTACTTAAACATCATTTTAAGTTTAACCATAACTCTTTATTCTATAATCAGCATTTTATTTTGCACCTCCAGACGACTTCAGGGTTAATAGACATACTAGTAAAAAGTATATTTGACTTAAATTAAGGCGTTCAAAATACAAATTGTACATACCTTCTCAAGCTTTACAAAAAAAACCACCATCACTTTCCAACACGTAAACTCGAGTTGACTCACGAGTTCATTGATTGCGCATTTACAAGGCAATCGAGAAAGGACCTCATTTTATTAGCAGTTACTAACAACAGTTACTGTATGTATATCTCGGGAGAGAACAATTAAAGTACATCTCTAACAAATGTTTCTAAGCACAATGTTTGAAGTATCAGATATGGTTGATTTCCCACAACTAGGTCCAGAAGGTCCATGAAACATAAATAATAGGGTTAATACCTTATTTTGGCCCGAACTATGACCATATAATCAACTTTGGCCCGTGGTTTTAGAAATTAACATCATGACCTCAACTATGCAACATATAGACTCAATTGGCCCGCCACATAGTTTGACCGTCAATTTGGACGGTCAACTCCGTTGACCGTTATTCAACACGCCATGTCATTGCCTAGTAAGCATAAAAATCATTAAAAAAATTCAAATTCAAATTCAAATTATTTTCCTAATTTCTATTATTTATAATTTTCCAATTAACCAAAAAAATAAAATTCTAAAAATAAAAAATATTTTTTTTGGATACTTGAAAATGGTAAATTTTATAAATTAACCAAAATTATCAAATTAAATTTTATAAATTTAAAAATTATTATATAAATTATATTTTTTTGGTATGTTTTAAAAATATAAAATAATTTGATAATTTTTGGTTATTTTATAAAATTTATCATTTTCAAATTATCTAAAAAATTAAAAACAAAATTATTTATGTTTTTTATAATTTATTTTTTGTTAATTTGATAATAAATAATTTTTTAATGATTTTTAGGCTCACTAGGCAATGACATGGCATGTTGACTAACGGTCAACGGAGTTGACCGTCCAAATTGATGGTCAAACAATGTGTCGGGCCAATTGAGTCTATATGCTGCATAGTTGAGGCCAGGATGTTAATTTCTGAAACCACGGGCCAAAGTTGATTATATGGTCATAGTTCGGGCCAAAATAAAGTATTAACCCTAAATAATACACCAATAGAGTCAGCACAAATGCATTGATAATGACACCAAATTACTATAAATGTGCTGCAAAAAAACCAGTGTTATTAAAGCCGAGCCGAGCCGCTCGGCCCGACCGGTAAAACCGCCACCCGGTCACAAAATCGGCTCGGAACAGTCTAAAAGCCGCTCCGGTTTTATGTAATGGTTGACGAGCGATCGAGGCGGTTAACTGCTCGAGCCGCTTGTCCGGTTTTTGCCATTCAGCAGTTAAATTTAATTAAAAAATTGCAGAAAATTGAACATTGAAATAAACCAAAAACATCAGGCACTCAAACTGAATCCTTATTTCCATTTCACGATTTCGAAGGAAAGAGACGAGCTCTAATTAAGAAATGTCCACTATTTATACTGATAACGTTTATTAGGTATCGGTTCTCTAACGATTTTTAAACGATCTAATGCCGGCTGGACCACTAAAGTGCGAGCCGTTTGCATTACCAGGTCATGCTCCGATTCGGTTCTGACAACGTTGAACAAAAAAATATCCTTTGAACAATGGAAAGGCACATCAAGTTACATGACAAACCCAACCAACACTACCAGCTTCCACAAAATGCCACAAATTTCTTCACATCTCTAACACACACAAACAGAAGTAGTAGTAGAGTAGAAGAAGAAGGCCCCATCTCCATCTGCCCTAGCTAGATTGTGACTCTTTACCTAATGTTATGCCCATCATTCATCTTTCACCTCCCTTCTCACTTATTGTTCCCCTTTCCTTCACTTATCAACTGCCCCATATAATTCTTTCGAGGACATATTAAGAGAGTTTCGTCCATAGATCATTGAATAGAACTAAAAATATTTCGAGTAAGTCAGACGCCTTAATTATTAGGAGGAAAATATTGCATGTAGAACATGCAAGAGACGTTCGTTTGAGCTCGTGCAACTTCTAACATTCAATGAGTTGTGGATGCATACAAGTACAACCATGTTATCTACGAAGATGTCATCAATTTGGCTGTAAAAGTACAACTCATGCAGTTTGGACTGCCTGTCGATAGTCATATAAATTCGTGTTCATTTCATATCCGCAATTGGACATTATAATTAAGTGACCATCTTGGCCGATGAGGGTCTTGTGGTTGTTAGTGAATGAATTAAGTTAAGATTTAAGAGAGATAAAAACACACATTAGCTTATATTGTGGTATTGATATGTATTTCAGTATATATTGATTCCAATTTCGTAATTCCTAATATCAAATAACACTTGAAATTCAATCTCATTCTTAATCTCAAAAAATTATACGTGTTTTCAGTAATACCAAATATCAACAAATTCAGCATGATAATCGGTATATCCAAAACATCGATACCAAATTTCGAGCCCTATCCTTCACATCAGCCAGTAGTAAATTCCTATTGCAAAAAAAAAAAAACCCCGTAATAAGTTAATTAGTTTATACTTTGTAGCCTTTGCGGTTCTCTGATAGACCGTAGATTAATTCTTTTTTGTAGAGGCAGTGATCGACCCATCAGACGTATATCCAAAAAGACTTCAAACATACAATTGCTTTGTGCAACTTCATTAGTGAAACGAATTTGAAATCTAAATTCATCACCAAAATTCATGAAGCAAATGATTACTAAGTTTGTCTAATATATCGAACTGGATGAGAAGACGCTGTAGATGTGTTAAAACATTGAATAATTATTCTCTCATGAGACTCTCCATCACGGAATAGTTAAGACGCAGTTATTTGTTGTTACTTCTTTTCATCTTTCTACGTTTTTGGAGAAGTTGCTTTAGGCAATCAGTATGCATAATACAATATCATAATCGATTCAACAAAGTACCCAAGAAAAGGGCACGAAATTAATGAAAGGGAATGAGATTATACACCATTCCCTTACTAATTAGTCAACAAAATCCACCTAACCTTTCCCTAAAAGCTAAAACACACAACACCTACAAATTTATAAGTTAATTTATAACACTACATTACACAATAAATAAAAGCCAATAATATTGTCCCATCTCACAATCACAATGACAGGCATCCACATGCATTGAATAACCATAAATAACAACAACGGCCCCCTTCCCTTCATTCTCCTCCATCATTCATTTCTTATTTATTATTACTATTCATTATTCTCTCTCTATGTCCTTCTTTATATTATTTTGCTTCAAATAAATAATAATTATAATATCTTGTCACTCGAACTCACCCTGCTCCATCACAACTCGAAGTTTGGTATTGGTATTTGCAATATACTCAATATCTTAACAAATTTAACAAACTTTAATAACATAATTTAAAAATTAAAAATAATTAAATATAACACACATACTTTGGTTCTACTTTAGTTTTTGACAACTCACAAGCCTCCCATCCAAACATGGGCACGGTGAGCCCTATTGGCATTGTTCAGCACGAAATCATAAATAAGCTCTACCAAGGATTGCCAAGCATTTGGTACTGAGGTTCCTCCTCCGTTTTTAGTAACAAAATGAACCAGAAGTAGGATCAAACTGAGAGTTAGCAGCATAAACAAAGATGGATTTGTGAATGAGAAATACAAATCTCCTATCTTCATAGGAATCAATGGGAGAATGGAAAATTGCTCAAGTGGACTGTTGAAGGAAAAGACTGACCCATTCGGTGACTTTCACGGTCGCCCTCACTGAACCGACTTGAATCGGGGAAGCAAGTGAGTCGGCTTAAGTCATGTGTCTTCTTCTCAAGTAACGTGGCGCTGAACTTGCGCTTTCAAGACGAGGTCTCACCGAGCCTTCAACCGAGTTAAGCGTAAGCCAGTGAAAGCTAGGGAAAAGGTTAGGTCTTGGGCCATGCAATGCAGCGAGGGCTTGTTAGTATTGGTAGGTGACATATAGCCCGTAGCATTCTTTCTTCGATCAGGTTCCACTGTTCATACCGAGCTCGTACCCAATCGGATTATTCCATGAGTACGCGTACATAGCATTTTCAAAAGGAAACTGATACACCTTCCTTATTATAGGCTGAAGAAGATTTTCGACATTCAACTCGAGGATAACACAACCTTTAGCAGCTAGGGAGATTAGACGCTTTTCTTAAACAAGAAGGGGTTGTGTTGGATGAAAATTGGGGGTTTTGGGAGGAGACTACCGGAACTCTCGTCTTTTAGATCAAAGATCCTTTCGGACTTTCGAGTTAAAAAAATCCACTCTTACGGCACTTAGCGGGGCTTTCTCTTCCAAGTCTTCCACCTCCTTATCTTGTTCCTTCTCTGTCAAGTTCATCTTATTCAGTAGATCCCCTGTGAACTTAGCATTCCCTCTTGTACCATACCCCCTATCTTCATTTAGAAGTAGCGATACTCATCGATTCGGAGAGAAACTTGAGCTAATAAATTCATATTAAAAGTTTAAAGGAAGAGAAAAGACAGGGACAGATGATGAATGGAATTCTTTCAATAGGACATGGGGCACTGCCTTGGAGAGGTAGTGTTCCTATCGACGGAGTCCATATTTATATATAAGGATGAAGTGAATGCTGACTGGACAAGAGAGAATAAAGATCTCCTCGAGGCGAAGGGCGAAGGGAGAGGAGTGAATGCCAGCCGGATCGACCAATAAAGAGATCGAACCCCTATAGCTATAGTATATGATACAGCCAGAAGTATCATCTTTAGTCTTAAGAATTGGAGGTGAAGACTAAAAGAGGCGAGGGTTGCCTATGCCAAGGATAGAATAGTAATAGATGCGATCTCCCAGGTCGTCGAATGAGTTATTTGCTGGCATTTTCCGCGATTCCTGTTAGGGACTCGGGTGCCATTATTTCATATCTTTTTTGGCATAAGAAGAAAGTTAAAGAACCTTCTCTCACCTTCACCAAGTCATCGCCAGCTTTTTTCTCTTGGTGTCAAATGGTTCACTCCTCTCACAACGTGACAAGGATAAATTTTGGAAGGAAAAATACCACATATATATTTACATTGAGGATGGTACACATTACCTATAGGTGTTATGATAGTGTTTTGACACTATATCACAACTCATTACTTGTTTATAATTGATATTAAACTAATTTATTATACTCTAAATGAAATTTCAATCGCAATAAAGACCTAATAGGATCTCTTTACTCCTTATGCTTATTAGAAATTTTCCCCAACAATCATGAAAATTGTCCATCGACAGCGGCAATTCAACTAGTTTTGATTCTACCCGTTGCAATTGCAAGTGTAGATAGAGTATTTTCAGCTCTGAGCTATATTAAGAGCAGAATTCGAAGACGAATTGACGACTAGTTTGCTAATGATCGTTTAGTGCGATACATTGAAAGAGACTTACTTAATAGTGTAGATAACGAGATTTTTGTGTGTGTGTTTCTTCACAATATTAAATCATGTTGGTTCTGCATCCAACCCAATGTTGGCCTTTCTAGGGGTGGCAGTTCGGTTATTTCGGTTATAACCGGTAACCGATTGGTCGGTTATCGGCTAACCGAAATAACCACTCCCCCTACCGAAAACCGCCCGAAATAGGCTTCGGTGTCTCGGTTATCTCGGTTGTCGGTTAACCGAACCACTTTTAAGACCAAAAACCATTTCGTCCAGCCTACGATAACCGACCGAAGTTCGGTTACTTCGGTTACCGGTTAGTGGATAACTAGTCGGTTAACCGATAACCGATAACCGAACTGCCACCTCTGGGCTTTTCAATTTAAGTCACTCTTGTCTCTCTCAATATCTTGTTATTTTCATGACGCCAAAAGACAAACACTCTCATTATTTTTCTCTCCACATTCGATCCATTGAAATATATATCAATAACGATATCACCATCTCCTCCGTCCTCCCTTCTTCTTATCAATGTTCTAGCTCTAGACGAATTGAAGACTCTTTGCCTAATCTCTTTGCGATAAGTGGAAAACTATATTCTATCTGTTCTATGGAAATTTGAAAATCCAATTAATGATGACTTCGATTAATTTTTATTAGACCATCCGACGAGTGTGAAAAAGACAAGTCTTTTCGATTATTATTAGTTTCTCTCATCTGATTTTTTTTTTTTTTGTGTGCGTGGATATTTTCCTTACTAATAATTTTGGAATTTGTTGTGGAATGTTATTTGTAGTATTTTGGTTTTGATGGGAGGAAACGAAGCATCCCATGCTGAGACAAGACAACACCGACGGGGTACCGCCGTTTCCCGTTCCCCACCACCACGCGTCGCCGGGGGCCCCACTCTCCGATGAGTTTTTTTTTCTTTTCATCGAGACTTTTTCCGTTACAGGTTGTCGTTTGTGAATTGTGAATTTGTGATGCCAAATTACGGCAATGGGTTTTGTTTGGAAGAAAGGGCAACTCGACTACTCGAGTGAAAAATTGACTGATGCAAAGCAAACAAATCCCATACATGAAACCTCGGACGATTCTGTTTCGTGGAGTATCATAAAACCTAGAAGAAGAAGTCGCAACACATATATGTACCGGGTAGTTTGGTTTTCGTAATAGTTAAATTGATGCATTGTCATGTATATAATTTTTTTTTTGTATTATAGTTTACATTGTTTGGTTTCTGTGATAGTTATTATAGTATTTAAACAAGTAATATTACTTTTTGGGTGAAATGTCACTTTTACAGTTTGTTTTTAAAAAGTAACACACATAAAAAGGTAGAGACATAGTTGGAAGAAAAAACAACTCAACAATCTCACCAAAAACTTGAGATTTAAGTATCACTCATTTTGAGTGATAGTTTAGGGGTGGGTATTCAGTCGGTTCGGTCGAAACCGAACCGAAATTATGAATACGGGTCCCCGAATTCTCCCAAACCTCAAACCGAATTCGAACCAAATTATAATTCGGTTTGGTCGGTTTAAACCAAATTCGAACCAAATTATAATTCGGTTCGGTCGTTTTAAACCAAATTATAATGCGGTTTGGTTTGGTTTTTCACACAAAACCGAATTTGTTAAGCTACTTGTATCTTCTCACTTTTAAATTATTTTTTACCCCTAATACAAACAATAAATATGCAATTATACGGGTCGTTTGCTTCATGGATTTGAAAAATGAGAGTTTTGGTAAAACCTGGGTTTTGGAAAACCATGGATATATGATGGATTTGGTGGCATTATAGATCTGAACAAGTCTATTGTTTGCTTGATGGATTTGATTATGGACTTTGTTTGATTAGATTTGTGGATATTAAATACAAATTACCTAGTTACCCTTATTTAATTATATTTCTATATTCTAATCCAAATCTTTCATTTAAAACTAATCCAAAACATAGAAAGAAATTTTAAACTCTTTACCACTATGTGGATTAATAATTCAACTACAAATATAGAAATGTATTACAATTTGGCACTAATTAACAATTCATCTAATAATGTACGCAATATTAGGTATCAATTGTAGCCAATTGCTCGCTTTATTGCTACAACTCATCATCTTCTTGCTAACTCACCGATGTGGAATCCGACAATCAATCAAATAATAATGTACAAGATGAGCATAAAGTGTTTCTAGGTGAATCTAACAAATCACATATACATTCATATTTAAATAAAATACGATATTACAAAATGAAATGATAAATTCTCATATTTATAAAATACGAAATTATAAAAGTTTACAGTTGCATGACCATTGAATTAAAGTAGGACAAATTTGTAATTAAAAAAATAATTAAGGATAGAAAGGTAATTTATCATCATGGATTTTAATTCATCACCCAAATCCCACCTCAAGAGGTGGAACTTCCAAGTCCGTGGGGTCCACAGATTTGGAACCCCAAAAGAGGTGGGCCCCACAAATTCCATCTCTCTAATTCCCTAACAGCCTGTTTGGATTGACAAAAAAGTAAGGAATTGGAATTCCATTTCCAATTCCATTTCCATATATTATATTTGGAATAATAAAAAGATTGAGAATTGAATTCCAATGGGTCTAAAATATGGGAATTACAATTCCTATCAAAAGTGATAGGAATTGAGAGAATGAAGATGGAATTAGTGGGACCCATCAATACTTTTTATTATTTTGTTGACCCACTATCATTTTACTCTCTTTCTCTCTCATTCATATTTCATTTCCCAAAATAAAACAAACATATTACATTATTCATTATGGTTAAAAGTGCAATTTATTTCCATAGTTGTAGGAATTATACCAAACACTAGAATTGGAAATGGAATTCTATAAAAATAAAAAATTGAATTCCATTTCCATTTTCCGGAATTTTTCCATTTCCATTTCCATTTCTTCCGGAATTGTATCCAAACAGGCTGTAAGGCAAACGATGGTTCAAGTCCATGATGGATATATTTCCATGACCCCATCCATGACCAAAACTCTCAAGCAAACGACCCCTATATGCATTATCAATGATAAAATCAAACTTTTCAACACATAAGTCATTAAAATATTTCAAATATTTATGTTTAAAAACAACTACAAACATAAAAATCCACTATTTGGAGCTTGCAATTATAGTATTTCGGTCGGAAATTCGGTTTGGTTGAAAGAACCCTGGTTTTCGAACTATCCATATTTTTCTTCCGAATTCCGAACAGAATAACATTAATTCGGTTTCAGTTCGGTTCGGGTTTACCGAACCGGTTGTCCACCCCTATGATAGTTTGTGTCACATTAAACAAACAATGCATATATATTGTTTATGCAGAAAATTCAAAAAAAAAAAAAAAAGAGGAAGCATTATGGACAATACATGCATTATAACTATTCCCATAAAACAATCACCAAAACCAAACGAGCCCGTAATAAATTTGCATTTTTAATATTCTTCGTGTTATCGGCATCATTTTGCTGCTGGACCTTTTTGGGGCGAAAATGCAACGGAGTATCGATTTCAAAACCGGTTGATTTTTTAGAATTATGGTCGATGAATCGAAGCTTTCACAACATTTCGTGTTATCGAGATACATTAATATCTCGATTTTAAATTCTTAACATTAGTTATGTGAACATGCCAGCAACATTCGATCAATGATCATCATTCTCGCATCATAGCTTAAGAACTCAACTTTCACCCAAGACCCATTTCTGTTGTCCCTCCTCCAAATTTTAGTTCCATGCTTGCAAATTACAATCCTCTCCGAAGATTTTGTATTGCGTATTGCCCAAACTCTATGTTCAACTGAAGAGCTCTAGAATCACAAGATTGACTAGTCTCAAGACTAATGTTAACATCAACTTTTTTTTTTTTACGGAATCCATAGTCGAACTAATTCAAATTTTTGTTATGATACTCCCAATTCATTTATGAGAACCATCTCACAAGTGCTTTGCATGATGTCATTATATCGACGATAATGCTTTACGCTTATTGAAATACAATCCATTTTATTTACTAATAAAATTCCACAACATTCACCCAACGACAACAAAACACTCGAGCTCAATCTAACAGCATCAAGATCCTGAAAAATGGTTTTGACAAGTGAGCTATGAGCATCATAATCGGATTAAATACTAAAATGAGCACAATTTTGTAGCCCTAACACATGTAATTTTTTTAAGCTTTCACTCCACCGTTTTTTCTCCCCGGTCAACTGTCAAAACAGAGCTTAATTAATTATTTTTTTCCATAGACAAGTATGAAAGGAAAACCGCTAGTGGTTTCCTTTGCCGACTTGGCGACTTTAACGTCCTCACCGCCTTTCTTCTCTCTCCTCTTGCATGATTAAGAGGCCCATTTCCCGGCTCTCCCTCCGGTGACGTGGCGTCATCCAATTAGTGAGTTGGCTGTCGTCGGGATTCATAGCCAACGCAGCCAATAAACGAAGAACCTGTCACTCTCATATTTCTCTCTCTCCTCCTCTGAAGAAGAAGAAAAAAGAAAGCAGAACAGAGCACTCTCAACAATTTTTTTTGGGGTGCTCTGTGGTTTTTCTCCCCCACAAAAAACCCCAACAATCACTCGAATTCTGTCTTCTTTCGATCTCCCGACCGACGTAGCCGCAATCGGCAATGCGCGATCTCCATTTCGGTTGTTGTTTTGGGTCCTGATGTTGTGAATTCGGAAGTTGTTTTTCCACAGCTTTGAGTGAGGAAAAAAAAAAAAACAGAGACTGTGAAGAAAAAAAAGCAGGGGAAAAAGAATGCTGCAGGCAATGGAGAGTTCGGTGAACGGCGGCTACGGCGGAGGAGGGTTCTCGCAGTTTCAAAGCTGTGGCGATAGCAGCGAGGAGGAGCTCTCCGTGCTGCCGCGTCACACTAAGGTGGTGGTGACCGGGAATAACCGGACCAAATCGGTGCTTGTGGGGCTGGAAGGCGTTGTCAAGAAGGCTGTCGGCCTCGGCGGTTGGCATTGGCTGGTTAGTCCCTCTATCTCTCTCTTCCGAGCTTTCTAGCAAATGGGTTCTGTCCGTTTAGCTTGAATTGGGTGTGGGTCTTAATTTTTTTTAATGGGTTTGGAAGATTTTGGATTGGATTGGGTTGGATTGAATTGGAGTGTGGGTTAATGACAGAGTTGTTTGGACAATGCGGGTCAAAATTGTGGTGGGGTGTTTTTGGGTTGTGGATTTGTGTTGCGGTAAATTTCATTTCAATGCGATGGTTAATCATTGTGGGTTTCTTTTCTGCATTAATCTATTGGGGGTTATTGATTAAGAGAATCGATTATAGTTTTAGATGACTGTCTTCTCTTGAACTTTTCCGATTCACATTAATGGGGAATCTGGGCCGCGAGTCCAATTGGTTCATTGGCATATTTTGCATGAATTGATCTCTTCTGTGTGAAAAAAATTAGGTTTTGAGCGATTAGTCCCGATTTGAATTCACAATCTCCACTAGTGGATCTGGTGGTTCGTTATTGTGGGATTGAGAAATGACGTTTTGATTGATCATCCATTGTCGGATTACTTTTTTGGTTGTTGGGTGTATGGTGGAAGTTTGATGATGAGATAATCTTCCACTGATTCATGGGTAGTTGCCTTTAAATTTTCCCAACTGGGTTTGATTAGGGTCTGGTCAAGCTTTGAGCTTTGCATGAGGAATTCATCATCATCCTCAGCTTCATCTCGCTCATGGCGTCTCGTTTATTTTGGGAAAAGCCCCCTTTTTACACTTGTCAAAAGAAAAAAAAAAATTACCATCTTGTTCTCGGAGCTCTGCACATGGGAGAGGGGGAGAGAGGGAAACATTTTTTGTCCTGCGCCCTCATAAGAATACTATCTTGTTATCCGCTTTAGGCAGGTTTTTAATATCTGGGCCTGATGTTCTATCAGACCAAACAAATATACAATTACAGCTGACTTTGTGTCTTCTTTCAGCTGGAATTTGAACTTATTGGAGTTTTTTATTCATCTGAGGTAAGTTTTTTCTGCAAATTTTTTTTTCCCACCAGGTTCTTACAAATGGCATAGAAGTGAAGCTGCAGAGAAATGCACTCAGCGTACTGGAGCCACCAACTGGTAATGAAGATGACGACGACCTCGAATTCGAGACCGCACAGTGGAATGTTTCAGATATGAGTGAGTGTTTCTATTAACCGAATGCTTGTTTCCTTAATTGGTACACACAATTTGCCCTTTTGGTTCAGTATTTGTTCAGCATTAGTTCAACACTTCTTGCCAGCTAATGAACAGCTCTTGCGTGCTTTGTATGGTTGTTTATTGTAATTGAGACCGTAATGTAATTCAGTGGTTGAGCATTTAACACAGTGATGTTGAACTCTATCTGCTTTTGTCGTTGTTAGTGGAAAATTCGAAGGGGAGAAAAAAAGGAAAAGGAAGTGATCAAAGAGTTTGGTGCATAGGATCCATTCTGTCTCCACCTTTAAACTTTCACTTTAGCCAAAAGCTCCATTGTCTTATTATTACGCTCTCTTTATCCTTTTGTTTGGAGTGGACCCATGGTTTGTGCTGACCTTTGATTCGTTTCCATTGTATTCTTTTGGGGGGTTTCAATGGTCCAGCATCTGATGATACCCAGAAGTCCCACAGATCGCGGCATAATAGGACGCACAAGTCATCAGGATCATCTAACAAGTCCTTCAGCAGATCTCTATCTTGTGACTCACAGTCCAAGAGTTCTGTTTTTACTCCTCGTGGGTCCGCTGCGGTTAGTCACCCGGTCACACTACTTGTATTACTCTTGTTTGGTTGGCTTCTTCTTGTGTTCTTGAGCTTGGCTCTTATAGGTATATGGACTTTGGTTGCAGAAGGTTGACCTTAGCAAGCTGGAGATGGCCGCATTGTGGAAATATTGGCGACACTTCAATCTGGTAAGCTCCAGCTGTTTCACATTCTGCAGTTCATATAGTTAGATTAAATGTGGCAATGTAGCTAGGTAAATGGTTAGTTGGTTTGTCAACGGTCTGTAATAACTATACCAAACTACTCATACCATGTTAGTTGAGACTTCCTTTTATCACATCTAACCAGATGAACTAAAATCGAGTTCTGGTATTGGTAAGTTGTCATGGTACTTTGAAGTTTGAACACCCCTATTGATTAGGTTGTGTTGTTTTTGGTGAAATCAGATGGATGCTTTCCCTAACCCATCGAAGGAGCAGCTAGTCGAGGTCGTGCAAAGGCACTTCATGTCACAGGTACAAATAATAGTATCCGCCATACCTTCTGCATTTATGTATCTCTACATAAAGCTCCCAACGAGTCTGAAAGAAATGGTGGTTTGTGTTTCTGGCTTTTGGTGGTGAAGCAAATGGATGAGTTGCAGGTCATCGTCGGATTCGTTAAAGCAGCAAAGCGACTGAAGACGGTGTGCAAATGATGACCACAGATACTACTACAACTACTGAGATTGGTAACGATGAGGCTCATGAACTGTGAGATTTGAGTTTGAGGCCTCATCTCAATGCTAACCAGATTCACCCTTCCCTTTCTGGGATGTCCCATCTCCCCCCTTGTTTTTACCCTTGTCTTTGCTTTTGCTCAATCTGCAATATATACAGACCCTAAGGTGTAGTTTGTTCGTCGTCTTGTCGTGTCGATTTCTGACGCTCTGAGTTCTGGTGATAGCATTCTGGGTAGCGGTTGGACTCTTAAAGTCTCAGCTCATTTGGTTGTTGAGATTTATAGAGGTTGCGGGTGGTAAGTCAATGTAATAGTGGTTACCAGTAGAAGAGTTTATAGTAGTATGTAGATATATGGTCATAGTATATAATGATAGTAGTAAGGAAATATGTGTGGACAGATCAAATGTATGTTCTGAGTTCTGACTGTGAGGGGGGAAGTTGGGATTTCAGTTGGAAATTGTATATAAAATCTTTTCATATTGGCTCAGTCCTTTTGACCCTTTGCTTTACTGCTTAATTAGTGTCAATTAGCGTCCTTAATGATATCTTATCAGGAGAGGAATGGGAGGGAGTCAAAGTTATGATCTTTCAATCTATATCTTAATCAGGCTTTGTCGATAGTGGTGAATTATTATTATTATGTTTAATTATTTGGGATATTATGATTGATTATGATGATGATGTGTGCATTGTTGGGATTAGAGAAATTAGGGGTTTAGGTCTCAGTGAAATGAAAGATGGCGGTGGGTGGTTGTAGGTCTCAACTGTTTCTGTTTTGTAGTTCATTTTCGTATTGAAAGCAACCATATATATATATAATAATAATGGAAGGAAGGAGTAAATAAATAATGAAAGTCGGTGTCAAAATCCCAGAGATATCGAAGAATCTAATATTGGTCCCCCATGTCTGCAATGAGCAATCCCTCCCTGTGCTGTGATATTTGATCAAATTATTTTCTCAAGAATTCCGATTGGAAATTCTTCTCCTTTCTTGAGAGAACAAAGGCCCAATAGGTGGTCCAATCCATCTGTTGTTGTTGAAAGGCCTCGGAGCCAGCCCAACATTACATCTTCAGATTTAGTTCCTTAAACTGGATTAGGCCTAACAGAAGAGACAGAGGTATCTTTTCCCCAGATGGGCCTATTGGTCCAAGTCTCATAAGTTATAAGTGAGGCAGGCCACTTTCATATATAAAAAAGTAACAAGGCTAGCGTGTTTGATCCATGTGTAGGAACTAGGAACTAGGAAGATTAAGAAAGAAACATGTTTTGTTGTGAAGGCTTTTATCTTTATGATGGTAAAGGAAACCGTACCGGAAGTCATACCGGCCCTGTCGGTGGTAGGGTATTTTGTGGTACGATCGTGGTTCAATCGTTGTGTATCGGTAAAATACCGTTTCTGTAATTAAAAAATATTTTTTTTGTTAAAAAACCGTACCGGCAGATTCAGGATACCGGTTCGGAGTAATGCCGGAATAAAACCGGAATATACCGGATAACAAACCTGAATAAACTAAATAAGGATAGATAATATAACAATCAACAAACTGCAAAATTACTGAATAAACTACATAATCGTTCAAATACATGTTTAGGATCGAGTACAAAACAACCAAACAACATTCTCAAACATCAAGTTCAAACAACATGATCTCAAACCGAACAACATTCTCAAAGTACATAATCGTTCAAAGTATAAAACAACCAAACAACATTCTCAAATCATTCTCAAACTGCATTTGGTTTCACTTATGCGGCAGCAAGACTGCATTTGATGGGACAAACAACAACATAAAACTAGCAATCTAGCATTATACAAAAAGACAGCAAGTTCTTCTCCCATTCAGATTGCATTATACAAAAAAGACAACATTATTAAAAAAGATAGCAGCCTTTTCACCCATTCATAAGAGCATTATATATAAAAGACATCAACCTCTTCTCCCAACTAGTATAAAAAACAACAGCCTTTTCTATCATTCACAAGAGCATCATACCGATGTTCATTACCCATCCAACGTTAAACAACGGACAACAACATCTATTGCACAAAAGCATTAAACAAATGAAGCAGAATTACACAAAAGCAGAATTGCAGCAGATTCCAGTCGATAAGAAAATCCCAAATCGTCCATCTTTTGAGCAAGTATCATTTAGTCTTCAAACACAGACCCCCAACAAAGCTTCCGACTCAGACAAAGCGGCGATCCACAAAAACAACCGAAGGCGGAAGAATAGAGAAGAAGGAACGGCGACACTCACCTGTTGGAATTAGCATTTGCAGCAGAGCTTCGCCGTGAAACTCACCTGCGTTCTAGTCTTCTTGAGCAGCAGGGGAGGAAACTCGAGCAGGCGGTGGGGCTGAGGAGGAGAGAAGAGGAGCGGCGGAGCAGATCTGGGATCAGGGCCAATCGGCAGGGAGCCAAGCAGGGAGCCCACGATCTCCTCAAAGCCAATCGCCAGGGAGCGGCGATCGCGGTTTCCTCTTTGCTTTCTCCGATCGACGTCGCTGGTCGCCACTCGCAGTTGCCAAGGGAGAAGAGGAGGAGCGGCAGGCAGAGATGGGATGGGGAAAGGAAACGATGAAAGCAAAGCCCTCCCAGATGGCCAGATTAGGGGTTTTTCGTTTTTTTTCCTTTGGCAATTTTCAGCATTAGAACGGTGACGTTTTCCTTCCAATGAGCCTACCGCCGGTTAGACCAAACCCGGGCGGTTTTTTCGTTTGTACCGATTAAGCCAGAAAAACCGACCGGTACGATATTTTGAAGCAAACCAGCTTCCCGTATCGTTCTTGGTCCGGTTTCCGGTTTTTCCGGTTGAACCGGTCGGTACGATCCGGTTTTTTGGTCCATGATCTTTATGTGATGTGAATATACACAAGACTTTCAGCTAAAATATGATGAGTTACTTTACATAGGAGAAAAGAATCGATAAGTTACTAGTTGCATAACAAGGTTTATCTGGCTAAAACATGACCATACATGATCACATATTGCTTACAATTCTATTTTGTTGTCACTCTATTTGTTGACAACGAAAATTAATTTAGACTAAATTAAATGCCACATTGATAAGTCTCGGCATTTAATTCGATGCCGCATGATATAAAACGGTGCCGTTGAGAAACAAGCAACGGCGTGGAGGGGTTAAACGACAACGCGAGTAAGTCCAACGCCAGCGCTGTACTTGAAACGATATTGTTTAGTAGAAAACAATGTCGTGGGTGGCTTTGCAATGTTAGTGTTGGAGTTGGAAAATGAGTGTTCTTTATTCCTTATCCAAGAAGGAGAGGATTCAGCCAAGATCGGCCTCGACAATGTTGCAAGGGAGAGAAATATTGAACCTTGGCCAAAAACAATGTTCCATGGGTTGTGTGACCAACACCACAGTGGAATTAGAAACGACATTGTTAGTAAAATAAAACAACGCTGCGAGAAGTCAAACCCTAACGGCACCGCGAGACGGGAAACAAAGTTGTTTAATATAAAACAATGTCGGGGGAGGAAGATTTACGTGGCTTCCGTGCATGGTAGGTTTTGATAAGCCACGGTGCGGTGCTTTATTTCTTATTCGCCAACACGGTTGTGTTTTGGTTCTAAAACCAATGCAAACAATATAGTTTTCTCAAGCAACGACTCTGCAGCACTATGGAAGCGACATTGTTGAGCTAAAAACAACGTCGCAATGTTTGAGTTTTCGAGTTCGGAGAGGCCATTCTCTTAATTATATATATTTAGCAATTATTTTAGACGGCGTCATTTGGTTGAAAACAACATCGTGTGAGGTATCAACGACACCGTAATATTAGGAAGCGACGTTGTTTAGGGAAAAAAAAAACAACAACAACATATTTGGACAAAGAAAAAAAAAACAAAGGACAAAGTATGTAAACCAAAAATGGAAAACGATTTTTTTTTTTTATCGCGGTGGAGGTTACCGGTGCCAAATCGAAAGGCCGGCAATGGGCTCTCTTCGGCCATCACTCGATCTTCCTACCGATCCCGAACACCGCCACCAGCAGCAGATCGACGAATCCACCCTCCTAAATCTCTTCAAGCCCAGCAGAACCACCTCAATTCACCGGGGGCTCGGGTCGGTTGTAGTCCTAGTTCATCTGATGCCGCCTCCGGCTCGTTGGACCGGCTGGAGGAGTTGGCTTCGTTGCAGTAGCGGGCGGATGGAGGGGCGGCGATGACGACGGTTGGAAGATTAGGCTGCTCTGGCTCCAGTCCAATATTTCATTTGAAGAAACCTGCTTTGTTCTCAAACCCATCATTAATCTGAACCCAATTCAGACTTTCTATGGCAAATCACACCCCCAATCAAGAGATGAGGTTAGTGAAGCTGGTTATTGCAAAAAACCAAATAGGGAGGGAAGGAATGAAGGGATTGAGCTTCTTAGAGATCAGGGAATGGGGGAGTAAGGTGAATGGAGGAGGATGCTGGTGGCGGTGTTTGGGATCGGGGGAAGATCGAGTGATGGCGGAAGAGAGCCCATTGCCGGACTTCTTCGATCCCCTGTTCTAAAATCTCACTTGGAGGGGGTTTGAATTCTGATCGAGAGATGGCGGAAGAGAGTCCATTGTCGGCCTTTCGATTTGGCATCGGTAACCTCCATCACGACAATTTTTTTGTTTTTCATTTTTTGTTTAGCTAAGGTGTAACACCCGACACTTTAACAAATAAACGGTCGGATTGACGGTTATTTACGAAAAACACCCCGTTGAACCAAACTAGGTTAAGGACCAAAGCTAAAGTAATTGAACCGACCCAAATTGATCGTTGTCGGTGGAAGGGTTGCGACCGTGAGTTGAGAGTAATTATTATATTTATGAATGATTATATATATAAAGCCAAAGCAAACCCTAAAGAAGACCCTTATGATCAGCGGGGTGTGTGTATATATATGTACTCTATCAACAAGTGTAGGAATGCGTTTGCTTGGTTTCATTTTTTTAAGTAGCCACCATGGCTACCTCCTTTTTGTCCATTCAGATTAAGTAGATCCAATCTGAGGCCCACTTTGCTCAAGGGTTTTTTCGGAAGGGACCCACACGATCAGCTCCTTCTTTACTGGGCCCGAAATCAAAGCAAGATTTCCCTTGCCCCACGCTCCCTTTCATTATTCATTGTCTTTCCTTATCAACGCATTCTCTCTCCCAAAACCCCTTTTTCCTTTTGCAGAGAGGAGAAGCTTCTTTGGTGGCAGACCTTAGAGATTCCCGGCGTCGCACTCTCTCCGTCGCCGCGTTCTTTTCCTGGCTCCGTGGTCTCTGTTCGGCGCCGCATTCTCTCTCCGTCGCCGCCGCGTTCTCTCCCTGCCACCGCGGTCTCTCTCTCTCCGGCGTTAGCTTGGTCTCACCGTCGACGCGCTCTCTCTTTGGCGCCGTGGTCTCTCTCCGGCGCCGCATTCAATCTCCGTCGGCTAGGGTTCCCGGAGACTGGTTCTTTATTAGTTGGTGGGTAAACGAGCTTTTTCGGCGTCTCCCTACCCTGTTCCTGTTTAGGGTTCCTGTTCGTTCCACTCCGAGGGCGTACCTGTGACATTCAGTTTAGCTGCTCCGGCATCCATTTTTGTTGTCAGAACGTCTCGGCTGTGAGCTACTGTTCAGAGGTTGGTCTCCCGCAAGAACCCTAATCTTCAAATTTAAACGTCTTATGGATTTGGTTTTGTTTTGAATGGTATTCTTTTTGTTTTTGTATCTTTTTTGGTAGTGATTTAGTTTTTAGGTTGTTAGCATTGGTAGTGATCTGCATACTTGTGAATCTGTTGGAATGGTAGTTTTTTGATGTGGAATGGTAGTTTTTTTGTTTTTTGAATGGTAGTTTCCTTTCATGCATTGATAGTTTTTTGTTTTTTTG